CACACACACACACACACACACACACACACACACACACACACACACACACAAAAACAATCAATAAACAGGTCACTCATTAAAAGCTAAAGCAGCCTCTGAGGATCAGCTCTCATCGGTTTGCGAGGAAGGAATATGATTATGGGTTTAAGAAGCCGAACCAGGACCCAAACTCATGGGAAATAAAATTTCCACAAAATCATTTCAAACTGTAGCAAACACGCATTAATGTGAGCATTTTCATGCTCTTAATTAAAGGTCGAATGTCAGATCCTGCTAGATGTGTTCGCACTCTCGGCTAAAATTGTGCGTTCGCTAATGTTGGTTAGCTGTGGCGGCCATCTTACATTAATTTTTGAAGTGACTTCAATCAGTTGTAGGTGTACATCCAGTGAATATGTTCTGAGAGACTCACTAAAGTCTGTACAGTGGTTCATAAAATATTTTGCTAACAGACAGAAATGGTTGACAACACCAATTAACATAAAGTTTTTGAAAATCTAGCACGATCAGTTTGTGTTCATAGTATGTTTTTGGAATAACATTAAAATTAAAGCACACAAAATTTGAGCTCAATATCTTTAAAATTGACGGAGTTATATTATTTTGAGTTTTCTAAGTTTGTTTAGCTGTGGCGTCCATCTTGAATTGTGTTGACTTTAAAACTTAATCAGTTAAAAATGAACACCCATTGAATATTTTTTGAGATTTTCATTCAAATTTGTCCAATGGTTCATAAAATATTTTGCTAACGGACAGAAAGGGTGGACAACCCCAATTAATGTAAAGGTTTTAAGTGAAAATCTAGCATGATCAATTTGTGCTCATAGTATGTTTTTGGAATACCATGAAACTTCAAGCACACAAAATTTGAGCTCAATATCTTTAAAACTGACAGAGTTATAACTATTTATGTGTTTCCTGTGTTTGTTTAGCTGTGGCRGCCAACTTGAATTGTGTTGATTTTGAAATTTAATCTTATAGATATACATCCAGTGACATCTTCCTGAGAGTTTCATTAAAATCCATTCATTGATTCACAAGACGTTTTGCTAACACTACACAACTACTGTATGTCTTGGATATAATTAGTATTCTTTATTATGTGGAGAATTTAGTGTGCATTCTTAGTATTTTGTGTTATTATTAAACCAAACCCTCTTSCTATCATTTCACACATTCTCAGAAATGAGTCACACAAACCCTGCGAGCCAGGCAGGAAGCGATTTGAATAAAAACAGAACATTTCTGTGAAGAACTCCTCGGTGAGAAATAAATACGAGCAGTAATTAGACATGAGACAAGCAAACTCCCCGAGATTTTTTCTTTCCCCTTTTTTTTTCACACGTAGTGCAACGATGCCAATTTCCTTGATTGTTTGAGAATGAACAATACATCAAGTCCCATAACCAATTAAAAATGATTAGTGCTCGAGCTGCAGAAACAGGTTTRGAGGAAATCACACACTACAGCGTTACCGCACCAACATCCAGAGCGTTTAGTGTTCGTCGTGTTCAGAGTGACCCGATGGTGCGGCTTTTGTTTTGAAGGATGTATAAGCAGGACGTCGTATTGCTCTGCTGTTAGAAAAATAAAAAAGGGTTTGGGGGGAAAATCGGCTGATGTGATTGGATCGGCCGGCGGCTCCCTCACCGGCGGCGTCTTCATCCAACCGAGCCTCGGTGGAGGCGGAGGGACGAGGCGTGAAATGAGCTTTGGTTCGGTCAGGAGAAACTGCAGGAGGATACAGTTCTCTCTAAAAGGATTCAAGACTGTTCAGTCATCAAGAAATCCCAGGAAAAAAAGCAAACAAGGGAGTTGTACGTAGCGTGGACACACACTGAGTGGATGTTAAAGATGTTACTTTTTATTTTTTTAGCATTTAGTGGGCACCAAACTCTGTCTGTTGTAGAAAATAGGAAATACAGAAACACAACAGTACGTTAAATCAGACAGACGCCTCATAAATAAGACAAAAACGGGGATTTACAGCAAGTGTGGAACAATTAAACATTAAGGATCTCACATGATTAGGTCCAACACTTCAACCTAATAATTCCTGCATTATAGGTACAAAAAATACCAGAGTATTTTTATATTCTAAAGCACTTAAATTTTTTTTGTAATGATCTATGCAAAACTGCAATCAAAAGCTTCTGTTGTCTTTCTGATCATGGGTCCAGTGGGAGGTGGGTCAATGACATCACCGTCTTATGAGTTTACCTTTGAACATTTCAACACAAAAACAACAAATTCACATATAATCTGACTCCAAGAATGTCTGTATACCAAACTCTCATAAAGTGACAAAGCTGCTCTAAATTTTCTCGTGGCCACATGTTGTTATTTTGTGACCATGCGTTATTATCTCATGGCCACGAGATAATTCTTTTTTTTATCCAATGTCACTAGACAGGCACCGCATGCAGGATATTTTATGATTAACTGAATTTCGCACACATTTATATTTTACACATTTATATTTTATRCTTTTGTGTTTCTTTGGGCAAATTATAATTTTCCTATTGTTGTGATCAATTGTAATCCTTTAAAGTAWTCAACAAGTCTCTATTTAGATTAATACAYGACTCCCAGTAAAACAACATACAATAAACAAATAATGTTTTRATATAACTTTACAGAAACTTTTGCGCATGCATTAAAATATATACTTTTCGATTACCGGTTAATGCGCTCGATTTAGGAAAAAACAGTAGACAGTAATTCTATTTTTAATTATAAAGGAGTGCTAAATTATATTCTGTAAACATTTTTAAAATCATATACATTCTGATGTTAATAAAATATAGATTTAAGATGTATACTGTATACAAATAGTTATTCATTAGATCTCCAATTTATGTTTTTGCAAATGTTGCCTTTTCTATGAAACACTGCAGGTGACAAAAGACTGAAATCAAATCCATTCTATCAAGCGGTCTGGCGAAATGCTAYATGCTAAAAACAAACAAACTCTCCCAGCACTATTTCTTTTAGCGCATTTGCAAATGAGCTGTCGGTACGGATCGTGCTTCTGGAACAGATCGAGCAGCGACAGGTACAACTTGACTAAARCTAAGCACTGTGATGTGGTGAACTCTACATGTCTGCAAATAAATATTCAACTCTGAGAACTGAATCTGTCTGTCCATTCTGGATTCTCAATTAAACACTTTTCTAATGAAAAAAAAACAAAAACAAAACAAAAAACAAAACAGAGTTATCCTCGCTAGACTGTGTTTCCTGCCTACAGATAACTCTGGCACAGAAAACTGGTACTTTTAAACTGAGTCGATTTGTAAAACTGAGCCGCCGTGTCAGCTCACCTATTTTCCAATCTGAACATTATGTATTAGGATGAGAGTTTTGAACGCCTGAATAAACTCTGCTGAAGGTGTTTGAAAGTTGGAAAAGTCTTGCAGCTCTCTGGGAGGCAGATAAAGTTGCAGCCACCCCGACACGTCTCTTTAAGTCGGTGTTTCGGAGGAAAGGAACAGGGTTTTCTCGGCTCCCTGTCTCCTGTGTCTCAGACCGTCTTTGAAGTTTRAAGTTCAAGTAAAAGTGTGTACCCGCGTACGTGTGTTCTGAAGGCTTTCTGAACTGAACCTGTTTGTTTTGTATGAATATGCATGAGAACGCTCTGGGATGCTTCCTCCTGTCTGTGGATGCTTACAGTACGCGACTCTCGCTGTGAGCAGGATGGCAAAAATGGATGGAGGAGCTGAGAATCCACCTCCTGCTGTGGCTGCTGATTGTTTCTGCACTTCACTGATAAACGGAAACTCTCCCTGCTGTCTAAATCCCTGGTAACAAAACAACTCACACATACACAGAATTTACTAACAGAAAAAAAAAATGAAGCAAACTTTTAAAAATGTTACGTGATAAAAATAGAAAAAAAATGGTCCAAAGTTTTTGATCATCTTACCGTGGAATTAAAGCGCAGGTGGCAAATGTTGCAGGAGATGATCTGTTTCTTCTTCAGGGGCTGAGGGACACCAAACGTGTGATTGATCACCGCCTTCTGGACCGGGTCCATCTGAGAGACCGAGAGAGGAGCAACACAAACATCGTCTTAATGGTAAAGTGAAAGTCTGCAAATAACAAAAATCTGTCTTAAAGGAGACATCCTGCTTTCAAATCCTTATTTTTTACATTTAATCTTTCTGATGGGGTCTATATAAAGTGTCGCTGCAATGCTTTGGTCTGAATTCCCCATTACTGTAACTCCACAAGCCCCGCCCCTTTTCTGGGGTGTGTCTCAGATCAACTTGTTTTGAGGCTGCCTCCGTAAATCCAAATGAGACGCTTCAAGCCCCGCCCCCTCCAGCTTCCAGAGCGCTCCATTCTAGTCAGTGTAATTAGGGCGTGTTTTAACTAAAGGTACCAAAGAGAGCTCACTGTATTTGAGTCAACACCGTGATGTCACTCAAACCAGATTGTACCTCGACTAAATCACAGTTTAATCATAAAAATAGATGATTAGGTAAAATAAGCAGTACAGTATTTGTGATGCATTAAATCGTTAGTAAATTTTGTTCATTGTCATAGTTCAGAAAATAGAAAACTGAAAAGTGAACCGGTTGGAAAATACGACCCAGACAGAATATAAAAACATTTATAAATTCAACTTTTCTGTCTCCTAAAGACTCCAAGTTCACAACAAAATGCGT